TGAACAAAGTAAAGTTTCGTGCATATAAAGTTGTCGATACGAGGTTGAAGGAGAAAGTTTCTCATTTTCTCAAGAGAGACGAAAATCGTAGAGTCATTGTTGTTTCGGTTAGAAGCAGAAACATTGAAACGATTGGACAATGCAAAAGGAGGAAAAAAAAAAAAAAGAAAGAGAAAAAGTTTCCTCCATCTACTTCACGATTCTTAAAGATGGGCTATTATTATTATTATTATTTCAAAGGAATTCCCATTATATTTGATCTTTTAGTAAGAAGTTTGTTACGTAGACGTTTTTTCGTTATTCTTCCATTATTTAAATGTTTCCACGGTTTTCTCGTGTATCGTGATCGATATCGAAAATGGAATAATTTATTTTTCAAATCCGTCGAATCAAGAGTCTAATCAATATCTATATTTCCGATAACATATTTCTTCTCGAAAACGCATCACGGATTGTAATAATATTCTATTGGAGTTTTATTCTTTAGCGAAATACAAAGGAAACGTTCTATCCTTGGAAAATACAATGGAATAGGGAAAATAAACAAAGTGAAAATTTCTAAGGGAGAATTCTATCCTTAGAAAATATTACGATAACAAGGAAAAAATATTTGGAATAAGAAAAGGTAAATGTAGTGAGAGAATGGAGAGGTAAAATTTAAAAAAAATTGACAAATCACATTTTCGAAGAAAGGATAATTCGCCGGATAATTTTTATTCTCAATTGTTAAAAAATAAAAAATCCCATAAAAGCAGAGTTTCCAATTCTTCTTCGAAGAATTCATTCTAATATTTCAAAAGTATTTTTGATTCCCATTCATTCATAATTCCATAAAGCGTTGAAAAAAGTTCGCACTAATCCATCCAAACTTTTTTTGCAATGAAAATTTTACACTTTCCCTCCCTTTAAGAATTCAATAGTTGATAAAATATCGATTCCCAATTTGAAATGTGACAAATTTTAATCAATCACAATCTCCGTCCTTTCAATAGATTCATGGACTGGTCGAGGAATTCGGATTAATTATTCGAAGCAAACTCAACATTTCCACCCCTTTTAAAAATTCATTCGAACGAAGTGGAAAGATATTTTTCGATTCTTCCATTTACTAATTCAAAACGACATTTTAATCAATCACAATTTTCTCTCGATAAATTCGTGTCTGCCTGTCCAAGGAATTCGCGTTAATTATCCAAAGCAGAGCATTGAACATTTCCATCCTCCCCTTCCCCTTTAAAAATTCATTTTTCCATTCAAAAATTCAAACCAGTTCAAAAATTGACAAATTTTTCGATCGAATTTTTCAATCTCCACTCTCTCGATAAATTCATGGACTGTCGAGGAGTCCGTTCAAGAACATTTCCCCCCTTTAAAAATTTTCATTTTTCAAAAAAAAAAAAAAACATCGTACCCTTTAATTTTGTTTATTAACAATTTAAAATCCTTCTACTTATGGGAGTGGAATTCGATCCATCCGAACCATCGAGCCCCCCAATATTTCCATTCTCCTTTAAGAATCGGTCGATTGTCGTCGTGGAATATAATTTCGAGTGCGTAACGAACATAGCGCGTAGCGATTAGGAAAACAAGTAATTGAAAAATCCATTTATCAATATTAATATTGATATTTTTCGCCACAATTTATTTTATATATTTTTTTCCTATCATTCTATGTGAGAAAAATTTATTTGAAAATACTAATTAAATTATTAATTTAGTTAATGAGCTCGGACAAGTTTATATTTTGAATATATATAATATAGAAGTAAAATTTTCTATTAACTTTAATATCATAATTTTTTTAAAAATATTTTTCATCGTAAAAAATATTCGTATAAACGATAATTAGAAAATTAAATTTATAATTTCTTTTATATAATATAAATACATTAAATAAATTATAGCAACTATTAATATTTCAGTTCGACAAATGTATATTAATTTATCGTAACGAATTCGCGGTAAAATTCCACGAGCTCGAATAATCAAACAAATATGAAATAAATAAACTAAAATAAATATACCGGTTCAATAATTAAATCCAAAAAAATATTAAATTTAAAATTAATCTTATAAATATAATATTCACATATTCTGATAAAAAAAATTAATACAAATATATAATATTCAAAATATTAAATCCAGAAACTAACTCAGATTCTCGTTCAATTAAATCGTGAAGAAAGTGTACGATTCGATTCAATTAACATTCTCATAAAAAATATCAATTGTTGAATCAAGATGGACGACGAAGGAGAAAAAATATATTTCCACGATCGACTCGTTCCTTCGCCTCGTCTCTGGCCCCCTCACAGTGGACACTTGGAAACAGGGGGTGATTAAAAACGAAGCTAATAAATTGATTTAAAAAGTGGATTTTCAAGATGGCGGGCTTTGATAGGGAATCGGGGGAGGAAATGGGGGAAGCGTCTTAACTTGATATTTGATCGTCCATTTTAAATTCATCGTCGATCGAAGAAACCCATCGTTGGTGCTTCTTCTGTCCATGCAGTTTCTTTGTGTAGATTTATCGATAATGATACTCGTTAGAGGACTCGTTGTGTTGAAATACTTGTGGAAACATTTGCCTTGCACAATAATACTTTAATACAATTGAAAACGTTATTGAATTATTATCATCTTAGAATTATTTTCCTTTCCGAACTGAAATTTTTATTCCGAACAAATTGGAAATATTAATTTGAGGAATGGATTAAATGTTATATGTAAATGTGTGTATACTTCTTATTGTTTTCACGCGATGAAAATTAGAATTTGCAGTTAAATGAGAATGTTACTTTCTGAATAGATCAACTTCTTTATTCTGTGAAAATAATTGTAATGTTGAAATCACAAAATTAAAAAAAAAAAAAAAAAAAAAAACTCGATGCAAAATCTTCTTTGTATTAAAACATGTTTATATTTATAATTTCTACGCGTCTCCTTGAATTAATAACGTTTCAACGTATGCCGTGCATCTCGAGTTGCAGAGTTCATCAGATACGTTATCGGTTGTCGCCTATTTAAGGTATCCATGCTCGTATCACGGATGATTGGTCGTCAACCACAGATTTTAATTGACCAGCTGATCATCCGTAGCAAGTGATCCGTAATATGAGCACATATACTTTAAATAGGTGACGAGCATAAGGTGCGCATTATCATCAGTGAGTCCTTAAAATGTTGATGAGGGTAGAGAAAATTGAGATATATATTTAATAATTGAATATTTAAAAATTACATTTTAGGATAACAATGAAAATTTGCTTCGTCGAAGGATAAAGGGATATCGCGTTTCACAGATGGAGAAATGGATCGTTTGTTTAATGAAATATTATTTTATACGGAGCGCTGTTAAGAAAGAATTAAATTACCTTTGAGAGTAGAATTATAATTTAACCGTTTCTAAAAGGTTTCGATTCGTTTCCTCTTATACGAACAAAATATTTTTTCGAAACATTACAAACATGATATCGAAACTTCTTTCGTTTCGTTCCAAGAAATATTTCATTTCCTCGTAATATCACAGTGCAGAACGATCGATTATCGGTATTTCTCTTCTATTGGCGCGAGCTTAATTATCATGTAAATAGTGGTAATTAGTAGCATACTCGATCAATTAAGTTTTTCTAACGTGTATTTTCTGTTTGAAAAAAAAAAAAAATTGTTTAAATTCTTCTAGGAAAAAGAAAAAAGAAAAAAAATTGTCATTATTGTCGTATCATCTTGGTCGGTTCTCTCCATCATCCAATATATCTTGTTCAGTCAGATAAACGATATTGATATAATATGTGACACGTATAATTTATATAGCGTGCAAGGAATAGGCAAGTAATAATCAGATAATATTAATATAAATGCACAAACACGTGAAACTTGGTAAACGACGCACTAACTAACTTTGTGAAACTCAATACTAATATCCTCAGGCGGTACAAGATCTAATATACATAAATACCGTTACATAGCGTTTACAAGTGTGTCACTATATTCTAAGACATTGATCAACGTGATCTTTCAATACTTATATATCTAATAAGAACATTTCTGATGCAATAGAACAATTGTATTCCTAATACAATGTTTAATATTCATTAAAACTATAAATTTACAATTGTAAAACGTGTTATGTATATATATATATATATATATATATATATCTATTTGACTTAAAAATCAGAGAAATACAATAACTAGAAGATAGGGTGATCTTATACCATGAATATACATGATTCAAGAAATTAATCAAAATTGTTCATCTAGAATTTTAAAAATAATAGAAATGTTAGAAATATCAAAAAGAAGTAATGAATTCTTACAAAACCAATAATTAAGAAATTTTCAGTTCAATGCTTTTTTAATCTCGTTGATTCTTGAATTTGGTTTAATGGAGAGAAACCCAATATGTTTGTTTCAACAGTAACTGCATTTAGGACCTTGTTATTAGATACCTCACTTAGGTTTAATGGATAAGAGCCATAATAGGGGTTTTCCAGAAATATATCTTTCTCCATAACTGTCCATATGGTCTATTATCAATGAATTAATAATACTGATAATAATATGATAGAAATCCTTATTGTTAGATTTATTTCAATCGAGATTCTCGATTCTAGAATCAATGACAATTCATAAGTTTAAAGATCATTTGAAGAGGAATGAGTTTGCAATTTTGTGATCAATTCTTTACTTTAATTTCATTGATTTAGACATCATCTAACAAGACTCCTCCATCTTGGAACCATTCTTAGCTCCATTGACCTTTGGATTAACCCAAATAGATTTATTTTTTCAGTCTATCTTAATCTCACTATTCTAAGATCCATTGATCTTCAATTTTGGAAGAAGATATCAGGATCATTTCTAAGTGAAACTTTTTAATCTTGCAATTATCAATAGCAATTTCACGAATCATTCCAATAAAAATTTTCTTCTCTCCAAAGCATTTTCAAACAAAATTTCCTCCATTCTGAATCTACCCCGACCAAGATTCTTCAATTTCGAAGTTATCATCCTCCTCGAATTCTGATTTCAAGATTATCCATAACGGAGTCGAATCGAGTCGTCTCCTCTCATCCCGTCTCATCCATAATGTCTCTCGTTTATCTGAAAATGAACAAGAACGTAAGAACAATATAAAACATAAAAGATACGTAAGACAGCTTTTCCAGACAACATCCTTTTCTCTTTCCTTCCTTTTTTTTTTTTTTTTAATTCTCTCCTCCAGCATTACGATCTCGTTTTATACCAGCTAAAATGTCACCACGGTTTCTCCGTTAAGTCCATCCAAGAAATTCCAAGAAACACCTTCCATTTGTTCGGTTTCAATGCCCACTTACGACCTCTCTCCATCCTAGACGCATCCCTCCTCCTGCAAATATTCGAAACGAGTTCACTTGACCACCATACCGTTTATCGTTAACGCGTTTTTAAGCTTTGCACGGAGTGGTGTCGCTCTGCAAGAAAGCCACGGGGGTCCAAACGTATCGAGATTCGTGAAATTGTGGGGAGGGGGAGGGGAGAGAGGGGGGGGAAGCGCGTAAACGGTCAAGTGGAGCGAGAATCGCGCAAGGGTGCCACTTGTGCGTCGTCGATACGAGTTCGTCGTCATGTCGCTGTATCAAGTACATCGATTCCGTTTTAATTCTCGAGCGAATCGATGGTCATTTTTTTTAACGCGTGTGATATGATTATTTACGAAGTTGAGAGAGAGAGAGAGAGAGAGAGAGAGAGAGAGAGAGAGAGAGAGAGAGAGAGAGAGAGAGAGAGAGAGAGAGAGAGAGAGAGAGAGAGAGAGAGAGAGAGAGAGA